TTGTTAAATCACCCGCAAACCATGGTTCAGCCCCTCGCGCAAAATTCCAGTTTGCGAGCGCAAATTACTGCACGCAAAATTGGATCTTGATAAATCCAGCCCATAATGTGGAATGTTTGAGATACAAAGTGTGATGAAGGGGTGACAGACAAGGTCTGGAGATATACAGTAGATGTGTTTGTGCATATTAAGAGATTTTCCTAAATGTTATGTTGGTTGGTTAAGCATTTACATCATACGTTGCCTCCATCAGAACTTTTGTTTTATAGGTTTTGAATCAAATGTTTTGTATTTGCATTATTTAATTTTTACTTCTGTAACAGTGGAACCATTTCATTCACGGTTCTTATTTATTCACCACTGTTCAGCTTTTACTGGTGCCTAATTCTGCTGCTTAGTTCCCAGCCAGCAGAATCTCAATCCCCTCACCAGAAAAGTGTGATAAATGAATGAAAACCTTCATGTTCCTTCACACAAACCTGGGAAGCCCAGGTGGACAACATCTGGTTTGTGAGGATTATTTACAATAATTTACTGAAGTTAATTTTTTTTTAAATCTGTGGTGCAAAAAAGAAAGTAGGAGAAATCTACGATAAGAATATCAATATGTTGTGGGATGATGCCAAGTGTGTCAGTTTTCTACTATCCTAAAATAGTTAAACTCTAGAGAAAAACAGACAAATGCGTCTGTCATGTCTGGTCCCACACAACCTGAAAAACAAATACAGCTGTTACTTTTTCAATTTGTGCTACCTATTATGAATTTTGATTATAGTTTCTGTTTTTCCACCAGATGGCGCCATATATCTCCATATCAGTCTACTTCAACTTGAGGTTGTCATAAAAACAATGATGACAATGATTACAGCCATCCTTTATATTTCCTGCGGTCCACATGGGAGTTGGTGTCTGGCCATGTCTACTACTTCTATGATATTACTAGTTGTCATTTAACTTTCTAACAAAGTTAGATCCTTTATTTGCATCTTTTTGTTCTCTGTTCTATTCACTACACTACATTTTCTAAGTTGTTGATTTTCCTAGGTCAGGTCAGTTGTCAGTTGAAAGTGGTTTAGAGCAAACATATCTAAATCATGTACCTGTCAGTTTGTTTGCTCTGCAAACATCTCAACCAAATCCGTATCGGGAAATAAAATATTGGTTTTGGGCGGATCAGGTCAGGAGACCAAAATATTTACTTCAGAAAACTTGCAGTTTTCTTATATGTTGTTATTCTGCTGTATATACACTTTTATTGAAGTAAAGCATTGCCGTTTTATTCAGATTACTCTCTATAGTTCAATAACACCTAGTTTTATACTCCCATTTAAATGCTCAGTTCTGTTTGCAAGGGAGTTCCATAACGTATCCATGCAGCAGCCCCCCCAAAAAAACAGCATTAGTTTCTGGCCTGAGATCCAATTTGCAAACTAACAATGCTATAAAGGATGCACAGGTGGGTAGTAACTTGTTACATTTATTCAGTTACATTTGCTTGAGTAATTTTTTGATTAAAAAATAGTCTTTCAGGAGTAGTTTCACTACACTCTGTCTATTTTTATTTAAGTAATATCCTCATGAGGTTTTGCTGTTACTTAACAGCAGAAGGAAACACATTTTAAACTAAAATGCACCAGACAAAGGCGAACAGTTTACACAGTATTCATTGTTTAAATGTCACCTATATCAGCTGAGACCTCTATGATATGGAGGTCAAGGTAATAACAGTAAAGCGTTTACTCTGTCACTGAAGGTAGTTTACCCTCCATCATGCGTATTTTATATACTTTCAGAAATAATTTAATACATTATGACAAAAACATTATTTTAAGAAGGGTTTTTATGCCATATTTTTTTTATTCAATACTTAAAACCTAAATTAAAATAGTAAAACAGTAACTCAGTACTTAAAAAGCCCTTTTCCCCAATTAGTTTTTATCTCTTGAGTGATTTATTAGATTACTACTTCTTATTTCCACATGAATAGAAATATGTTGAAGAAGTACGACAGTACTATTACTACATTACATTTTTTTAATATATAAGATGTTTTTTATGACTTTTAGTCCCATTTAGTTATTACATTTGTTTAGTATGATAATATTGACTAGCATGTTTCTGACTTTTCATTCATTCTCCAAGAATATCAAAATCAACAATAACTCATTGGTGATGAGAAATAAACAAAAGAAAAGAAAAGAATGTTAAATATGTGTGTAGTCTGAGGGCTACTGGGCAAAGTTTAACATGTCAGAGCCAAACTTGCACCAGTGTCCAAATGTAGATCATATCTACTATTATCTCTACTATTTTGTATTATTTTATTTTAGAATTACAAATTGCAGAGAGAGTTACAATGTCGAGCTGGTCCCCTTAAAATATCATGCATGTTTCTTCGCCACTTCACACCCATACAATGTTTTGTCTTTTGTATGTTTCACTTTAATAAACAGACATCCCACTAATCTTTTAATGCAGAAAGATGTTTTTAATGCAGTGATAAAGATTTTATTGGGATGAAATATTAATAGTAATCGTAGACTTTCTAAAGACTTAAAAATAAAAAGGTATCTGTTGTTAAAAGTTAAGGGACCAAAAAAAAGGAAACAAAATAATACAACATTGTTTCAGTAAATTGTTTGTACTTTTTTGGTCCCTAAAGCCACACAGCATAAACATGAAGGGAAAACAAAGGAATGAGTGACCGATTGTCAAAAGATGCCTTAACTAATCTCTGCTGAAGATTCATTGGTCTTTCTAGACTAATAGAGGAGGATCGCACAGACTGAGGGGAGCTGCATGTCACACCGCTGGGCTTCCAGGCACCCTGAGCTCTTCTCTGCACACAGAAAGAAAAAACATACTATGTAGTTAAACTAAATCAACTGCTTAGGTGTCATTTTGTGGATGCAAATACGGTTGAACTTTGTGTTAATGCTCTACACATCATTTGTACACACCCCAAAGTGATTTTAATGTCTTTATGAGAAACTTTAAACCTAAATGAAATGTTAAAGTAGGATCTACCATTAAAAGTTATCTGCAAACAGTTCTTGTCATCGGCAGGTTCTCCACTGCAGAACTCAGCAAATTGATCCATGATAGAATAATCCCAGGACCAATCAGGATCCTACAAGAGAAAAAGAAATCTGTTTGAGTTTAAATTCACTAATAACATTTTCTTGCTTTTAAACTCTGTAATGGAGATTTTTTTACCCCTGAGGTTTTGCTGCCTCCAACCCAAACTTGTCCACCATGAAGTCCGGCTTTTTTCATCTCCTCAGAAATCTCGTCAACTTGTGTAGAATCATATACAGCAGCAAGTGAACCGTGACCTTTAGATGCACAGTTGTCCTAAAAAATAAATTTTAAAAAAGAACACTGTGTTGAAAAAGGGGATAGATATCAAACGCAAAAAAGAAAATTAGACATTATTGGCCACATTCAAACTATTAAAAAGTATTATAATTGCTGCTTAGCTTCCTCTGGCGCTTACAAGCCCTGCTCCCTGTACAGTGACTTGCAAGGATGTTTTTTATTTAGTTGACTACTAAAAGGATTTATTAATATTATGTTATTTTTATATCAGTACTAGACGCCTATCATCACTATAGGTCACTTTTACAAGCTAAATAGTTAAAACAGAAATCCATAATCTTGAAGCTCAGGTTATCCTGAGCTATCTCTACAGTTATGTTCCTATAGGCTTAGACTGCTGGAGGACATAGGGACCACTTCTCACCATTCTATCTCTACTCTCCCTTTCTGCAGTTCTAGGGCATGGGGCACTGATTGAGGCTAGACCAAACTCGCAGGCAAAAATTATTTTGGCCGCTGGCGGGTGGGGCTAGTTTACTAGGGTACAGTTCATCAGCTATATTTGAAGACCTGGCTTATTAAATGCATTACTAATTAATTTAAACTAATTTAAAATATTGTATATAAAGGACTGTGAAAACAGTTTTTAGGTGCTTAACCATGAACATGAAATAACTGAATTTACCAGCAAAGAGCTAATGGGTTTATGGAAATTATTGCACACAAAGTGTAAAGCTAACTTATTATTAAAATAAGTTTTTCTTTTAATCTATTTTAGTTCTAACAGGGAACATTTCCACTTACCCTGGCCTCAACCCAGGTCATTTTCTGTGAAACAAACAGGAGACATTGAGTGCCATGCATTGTCCATCCTTCAGGGCAATTGAAGCCAAAAGTATTTTCTTGGTCTGTGAATAAATACATGTAATAGTTCATTAGTTTTTTTAAAAACTACTGACCACTTCCATGCATCCAGCCCAAGCCATGATCTAAAAGCAAAAATAAATAAATAGATAAAAATACAAAAAAAAAAAATAAAAATAATGAGAAAACAAAATCCATCCATCCATTAATTTTCTGTCACCCTTTTGCCAAGCGGGGTCGTGAGGGGTGCTTGTGCCTAGCTCCAGCTGTCTACGGACGAGAGGCGGGGTACACCCTGGACAGGTCACCAGTCCATCGCAGGGCAACACAGAGACAAACAGGACAAAAAAAAAAAAAAAAAAACATTCACACACACACTCACACCTAAGGAAGATTTAGAGAAGCCAGTTATCTTAACAGACATGTTTATAGACTGTGGNATTCACACACACACTCACACCTAAGGAAGATTTAGAGAAGCCAGTTATCTTAACAGACATGTTTATAGACTGTGGGAGGAAGCCAGGGTATCCGGAGAGAACCCACGCATGCAAAGGGAGAACATGCAAACTCCATGCAGAAAGACCCTGAGCCCGGAACCTTCTTGCTGCAAAGCAGCATTGCAGAGCCGGCTGCTCCACTGAGCAGCCCTGAGGAAGCAAAATGTAATAAAAATAGGGATGTCATGACTAAAAACTACTGACCAGTTCCATGTTTCCAGTCCAGGCCATAATATAAAAGCAACAAAAACAAAAAAAAGATGAGAAAACAAAATGTTATTATAAATAGGGATGTAATAATACATCTTTTTTTTTTTATTTAAGATAGAGAAGTTGCAACTCTAACAACTGACTAATATCCACATTGGCCAAGGAAAATAGCAACACAAAACATACATACTTTTAATACTTATTTTGTATTGTGGAAAAATAGGAAAGGTTTGATCAAGCGTTATTATTCAAACAGAGAACAAAAGTCAAAAACACAAGGTATAATAACAACTGGCCAATTTATGATCAACATATAATTTATGTAAAATTTAGACAGAAGCATTTTGTTTATATATCAAGTAGTTAGGTATAGGCCGATATAATCCCATTTGGGTTCTTTTTGGCCTGATATCTGTTGGGATCCTCAGGCTTGCCCACCAGAGGGCGCCGAGGATCCTCCTCTGTTTTATGTTTTTCTGTTAGGACTGGGGTTACTGTTGGGATCTGGAGAGTTACCATCTGTCTCCAGCAGAGTGCGCTGTGGGTCTCCTGGGCTGGAGCCCTCCAGCACACCTGAAGCTTGTCAGCCCATCAGGAGACCTTTCCTACTTAAGCAGCGACCAGACCTGTCTTCAATGCCTCAGTGTTGACTAAGTTTGGTTAGCGAACCTGAGCCTCTGTTACCTGAAAGAATCTTAGTAGTTCTCAAGAGAGAAACCTGATTCTAACCTGCCTCTGTCTTCTTGCTCACAGGAAACATGATCGAAGTCTGAAGTTCTGGATGAGTTTTGTTTGGAAACCTGCCTGCCTGCCCAAGGAAGCCAAACCTGAAGGTCTTAGTCTGGATTCCTCCTTCAGCTCTCAGGGGAGAGCTAGGAAGTTGAACCTGAAGATCTCAGTCTGGATTCCTACCTCAGCTCTCAGGGAAGAACTAGGAACCAAACCCACGTTTGAGGCCCACTAGCCAGAAGCTAGACGCTGCTGCTGCTAACTTCAAGCCTCAGACATCAGCCTGCCACCTGCCTCTGAACCCTCCTGGTTCCCTCCTTCGTCCTACTAACTTCAAGCCTCAGACCTCAGCCAGCCGTCTGCCTCTGAACCCTCCCGGTTCCCTCCTTCGGCCTGCTCACCTCAAGCCTCAGACTTCAGTCTACTGTCTCAGAATCCGCCTT